CGTAAATATATATAAAAAAAGTAAACGTAAACTCATAAACTCCGAAAGTGTTCGAGTGCCGTCCGTAAAACCGTTGCACCAGTGATACCGAGTACCAGAGTTTGTGGATTCCTCTTAAAAATGAGCGGATTCAGAGTGAAATAAAAAATCGAGATCATTATGGTGCAGCCAGAAAAAGTCGCACCCAGTATGCATGCATCGGATGACACTTTAATTAATACAAGCTATCGATAAATTATTGGCATTGTTTGAGGAAGCAATTCGACAAAAGATTTTGCCAATTCTTCATTATTCCTAGTCGACAAAATAAGACTGCTCATCACCTGTAAGGACCGGAAAGATGGGTAGCTGGCATTGATGTGATGTGTGATAAAGATAGAATATAAAATTTTCAGGAGGCACGAGTACAGAACAGATTCAGGAACCAAAACTCTCAAGATGAGGATTGACAAAAATAGTTTTAGAAGCGCTGATTGAACACGCGAGAAAGTATGCGAGATGACACCAATTTTGAAGGTCTCATGCATGAAACTGAACTAAGGCAAAAATAACGGTCTAAAATCAAATTAACTTCTGTTGAATGTCTTGTTGACTGTCCTGTTGAATGTCACTTGTGGAGAGGAAGTTTAGATATTCAGATGTGAAATTTTGTACCGTACACTTTGATTAAATTAGCTCTTCTCTCGTAGGTGGACTGACAGCCTCCAAAATTCGGCGGTGGCCTCCACTTTGATGTGCAGCACACTTTGATGTGCCTCTATTGTGCCGCTCACTTTGATGTGCCTCACACTTTGATGTGCCTCTATTGTGCCGCACACTTTGATGTGCCTCTATTGTGCCGCACACTTTGATGTGCCTCTATTGTGCCGCACACTTTGATAAAATGAACTCTTCTCTCAAAGGTGGAGTGACAGCCTCCAAGATCTGGCGGTATATATTTTTAAAACTGTAAGGAGCCCATGTACAGGAGTCAATACTAAAATAGCCAAAAATTTATAGATATTTCAGTATTCATGAACACGGTGGTCCTAAAAATAGGCAAGCTTTGAAACACACAGGATCAATAATTGTTATAAAATTTATGATAATGTTAGGTGGGGAATAGTTCAGCGTCAACTAGATTTATTTCGTAAAATCTTCTGACGACAGCATAAAGCAGATGTTGCCATCGGCAAGGCACATAAAATTTCCTCTCATAAGAGTAATCTCGTGTTTAAAACACGACAGCTATGGTGCTTCGAATAGTCACTGTTATATTTGCTTGATTCTCTCCTTCACTTGATGATTGTTTTGTTCGAGACTCAAACATCTCATCCAGGACCTAAGGTTTTTGTCGCCTTTGATTCCGTTCCTTTATTTGTTTGCATGGCATTGTGTGAGTTTTTAATATATCTGTTGATGAATTACGAATTTATTTTAACAGAGATAATAAATGGCCTACACTTGTTCTTCGATACCAAAATCTCTAATGTTCAAAAATAGTGGACTGGCCATTTCATGACACTTTCGGCATCGGAAAAAATATTTATTCTATTCTAATTACGGTAGTAATTAGTGAACAATTGTTCATCGTAATAGAGCTCCTCAATACAACCTTTATCTTATCATCTTAAGTCTTCTATCAACAAGTACCGTCAGCTTCCATCACTAGTTTCTAATTTGTCCCAATTTACTGTTACGTGTTAGCTAATGCCACATGTATTTAAAATGGAAAATTTAATTTCAAATCCACCTTGCTAGAACGAATTTATTACTTGTATTCCCTATTGCAGCTAAAGTATCAAATGTAAATAAAAAGGTTTATGAAAGTCAATTAATTAATGGCATTGAACATAAATACAATTTTTAACGCGTCAAATGTTGATGCACTTATAGGTTTGTTATTGAATAGATTTAAAATCTATCACAAATAGTTTGCTTCGCTTAAAGATTTCAATACAAGTCTTATATATGTAATTAGAATTAACTACTCAATTGTAACTTATTTGGTGTATGTTACTATTCCTGAGCATCATATAACTAGCAGCTTAAATGTCTTCCGCAATCAATGATTTCAAGCACTTCATTGTCTTTTAACTAAATTAAAATATAATTTGAAATTAAATCTTTTTCGTCTTAGTTACAAATGATATTTTGTGCGTTATCTTGAGTGGAACGATAAACTGTTTCTAGTTTCCTGTGCCTAGCTTGCTCCTTCTGCCTCCATGACCCCATTTAATCCAATAGCTAATTTCAAACGAGATCTGCTTAGATATTTAAAGTAAAGTGTCGCCGATATGTTTGAAAATTGGCTAGTAATTATCGCTTAAACAGTTAACAGGGACAGTAATTATAGTTAAACAGTTTCGGCGCTATGAAAAAATCGTTTTCTCTTCTACTGCGAATTTATTGCCTTAAATTACTCTGCACAGTCCTAATTTGAATTGAAATCAACAGCGTGAAGCCGACATGTCAACGTGCAAGTTGAAGCGTTCGATAACCGAAATACACATCCATAACGCGCTACTCGGATGGTTGCACTCATAAAAATAAGATGGATACAGAAATTTTATTAAATGATATTCGTATTAAAATCACTTGATTGCTTAAATCGCAAGTTTATCAAGAATTTAAAAGCAAAGAAAACCGCCAACAAAGTTTACCATTTCTCAAGAATGAGAACGTTTCGGAGTCCAGCTCCATTGTCAGTTCATAAGTTCAATACTTTTAGGACAAGCAGAATCAATTAGAGAACTAAATTTCACATGGAAGTTCAAATCCTAAATTAACAAAAGAAAAAATAAATACACGTGAGGTGGTAGGCCGATCTATCCCTTTCGTGACTGGCGGGACTGAGACGTCCCGCTCAATGTTTTACTCCATAACTTGCATACAGCATAACATTCAAGGCATAGCTAACTACAGGGACACATGAGTAAAACTCCTGCGCCTGTGTCAACTCAAAAGTAATTGACTGACGGGACTGTGACGTCCCGCCCAACGATTTACTCTATAACTTGCATGTAGCGCTAAATTCAAGGCATAGCTAACTACAGGGACATATAAGAAACACTCCTGAACCTACATATGTCCAATCTAAATGAATATTATTATTTGTTCTTTTTGGGACATGTTATTATATAAGCTATTACTATTTGCTAAAGAAAGTTTGTGATATTATTCAACTACCAACAAAAAATATTACGAAAATGTTTTTTAGCAAAATCAGTGATGTCGCAAATTGTGTCACCTCAGATGGAACCATATACTACCGGGATTTTCTAATTTTTACTATTAACATATATTTGATTATTTTTTACGGAGATGCAATATTCAGTCCAAGTTCATGATGATTCTGTAGAAAAATACGAATAAAAAGTTGTCGAACACATTGCAGTTACGAAAGGGCTATTTACAATTTCAAAGAGATAGGAGCTGAGCATTTACACTAGCTATGTTTCTGTTTAAAAATATACAGGGATTCTAAAAATCGGAGGTCTGAGACACCGGTCGTGAAATCTAGAACTCTTTAATCACTATCGGACACCGTCACTTTGCACTGCTCGTCATGGACGCGCACAGCTGTGCAATGTTCCGATGTCCGATAGTGATTATAGAGTTCTAGCTTTCATGACCGGTGTCTCTGAAATCCGAATTTTAGAATCGCTGTATATTTTTGAACATAAACCTAGCTAGTTTAAATGCAGCCTTCCGCTCCTATTCCCTTGAAATTGTAAATAGATAGGCCTGCCACCTAACGTGAATTTATTTTTTCTTTTGTCAATTTAGGATTTAAACTTCTATGTGAATTTTAGTTTTCTAATTGATTCTGCTTGTCTTAGAGGTATTGAGTTTTTGAACTGAGGATGGAGCTGGACTCCGAAACGTTTTCATTCTTAAGAAATGGTAAATTTTTTGGCTGTTGTCTTCGCTTTTAAATTCTTGATAATTATATTCGGAGCAAATGTTTACGGTATTTGCGGCGGGTGGATAGCTAGAGGTCAGCATAGCCCAAGTCCACAGTGCGATTCATATACCTTCCCGAGCGTAACGCAGCCGGGCATCTTCACGGCTTTTGACACAAAGCGCCCACCACAACAGCACCGTTCAGTGAGTCGCCTGCCGAAGACCACCACTGCCCTGGAAATAATGGACCATCATGATTCCTGCCTTCCGGAACGTAGCCTTCAACACTTCAAGCCGTACGCATCTAGGCCGTGGGTCGAACCAGCCCTCGGTCGAACGGCCACTTGTCGAAGAACGATAAATTTTGGAACAGAACTATGCTATGTGAAACCTAACCTCAGATGCGTTGAACGTAAAATTACGTAATTTAACGATGCCCGGAAGTCATATTCGATCCGCGGCCTGGTGGTGCACGGCAGGTGGTGGTCAAGGTCGGAAGAGGAAAAAGCCGAGTGGTACACGGCTGATTGGTGTAGGTCTGGAGAGATCCAAAGCGTTCGATTAAGGGCTTTTTGGTGCACAAAATTGGTGGTGCACGGCTGCGCTCCCCCGTTCAGTCACAGGCCGGAGCACATACAGGCTTGAGCACAACTGGCCGGAGCGCAATAGACCTTACCGCAACATCTACTCCTTACGTAACCTAACTTAACCTAACCTGCGCCGCCTGTTGCGGTAGGGCCTGTTACGCTCCGGCCAGTTGTGCTCCGGCTCTGTGAAGCAGTGGCTGTGTTGTGCAAGGCGGATTTACAGCTAGCCGGAGTTACCCACAGCTCATTGATCTGAGGCTATGTGTAGATATTGCATGCTGATGGTTGGCGTTGGGCCCAGGGCCTGTTTACGAGTCAATTTTGTTACCCACGGCTGCGCTCCCTTTGCGGCTGCTAGCTACTTATAATAACAGCGGAAACGCGGTTAGTGGAAATCCGAATTTTTATTTTGTGTTGCCTCAAACAGGAAATGAGCATTCCACTTGTACGTCTCTCCAGCTCTTATCAGTTGCTGCTGCTGATAATATAAGTTATATAAAGTCTAAGCTATGTCTTATTTCGTTCATACGCTCCACCTCAACGAAAGAAGTAACAGCTTGCACCTCCTAAATAACACTGCTGATCACTGGTGAGACGTTCTTTTCTCACACGAGTTTATTTCCAAAGCTCTACATTTTTGTTCCTTCCGTATAACCGTTTAATATGAATACTAAGTAAATCAATGGCCTACCAAATTACACTTTTTTTCTTAGTAAACAGCATCCTGATCCGACAATAGACCTAACTAGGCATGTGACGTTGAAATCATGTTGATGTAATGTTCTTTCTGCAGCAGATGCCCGCATGGTGGAAGGTGCCTCCTTATAATGTCACCACTTAATTTATAGTTAAAAATATTGTATACCTGCGTTAGAAAACTCAACTATTTGAAAACCCACACATGAGACTTGCATATTTGATTGATGCATGGTCTTCTTCATAGCCTCTTCAGTAATAACCATCTACCTTGCTTTCCGCATAACAAGATAAGCGTTTAGCCACAGAATGGTTCAGGTGAAAGTTCTCCTTCACTGCATCTCTAGGTTTCTACTCTAATTTAGGAAAGTTTCAAATAGTTCACCAACAAATATTAAAAAGGCAAGTTCAATAATTTTTAATAATTGAGCTTGGTAGAATAAAAATGTAAAAAACAGTTCGTTTTTGTTTACTGCATATGAATGGAATTTGTTCCTTCCAAATCCTGTGTTCAGAAATCTATTATGAATTCAGATTTAATGTGTAAATTTTGTAGAATTTACTTCTTAGAATAATGCATGACTTGGGAAAGAATGACTTGCCATAGAGCATTGCTTTCCTAGTGACATCCAATATATCATTACGATTTCGAAATATTAAGGCAGTATTATAAAAAATATTTTGTAACAAAAACTACAGGTCTCACTGTCCAATTCACCATGTCTTCCACATTTTAACGGGAATAATTATGCATCAATATCCCTGCGAATGAGAATAGTGAAATTTAGATAGATCAATTTGTTGACTTCCACTACCGATCTGAAGCTGTTGGAGATGCGAATACGTTGGTGGTAATTTCTTTACTGTTGATGGTACTGTTGCGGTTATTTTCCATACCTGAACAGTACCAGAAATGTAAATAAAAAATTTATTGCTTGGTATGATAAAAAACATCTATTACGTAATCTCTACGCTACCAATTCTTACTTACTTCTTTTTACATTATAAAACGAAACTGTTCTTTTGGCAAAGGTGTCTCCAAAACTGGCTGATGAATACACGAGTGACAAGGAACAATGGAGGATAACTAGTGAGGAAGATGCGCAGAAAGCCCTTTCTGCCCTTGAACAAAACCAGAAGCCACCGGAAAAAATTATCGTGCGGTCCACCGCCAAAAAGACCAAAAAACCAATAGAGGCCAGCCTATCGCCCCTGCTGATCAAGCTGGCCGAGGCAGGCAGAAACATTGACTTGCATCTCTGGGACTCCTTTTGGCGGAAGGAAACTCCCCCTGATGACAGCTACAGGCTGGGAGAGTTTATCAGGGCCGGGCATGCGTGAGTTGACAGCTAATGAGATTCTTGCAACATTTAATGTGTTCTAGGCTATGTACATAAACTGTATTTTATGAAGTGTTATGAAATAATTTTTCAAATGTAGGAATGTATGAGCATTAATTGCACAAAAATATACATGGGAGGAAACTATATAGAATATAGATCATTCAACGGCATTACAAAAATTATTTTTTTTAAATAGGCAATAAGATACCACTATTTGAATATTCTAGGCACACCTAAGGGAGCTGAAACCAGTATCAGTAATTGATCAGTTAGAGAAGGATCTTATGCCGCTATCTGTGATGAAATTGACACTGAATATGGGCACTTGTCCGTTGTGATATGAATTAGTCTTGCATTTGATTTGATCTGCGCTACCCAAATGACTGTGTCTGGAGATTTTATATCTGAGGGGATTTTCGGGGTAGAAATCTATGACAGCTATAAAGAGGTTGAGTCGGCTGGATTTACAATGAAGGTTTAATGACAGAAGTACAGTAATTATAATTTCACTAAATTCTTGTGACACGAAAAGTTCAATTCTCGGGAAGAGGGACACACTGAGAGATAGAAAACGAACCTATACATCACTTCCCACCTTTACATCACTACTCACTCAGCACAGCTAATTTGTCTTAACTTCTTCGTAAAAACAACAGAGGGAAACTGACACACTTCTTCGGCCATGTCGACTTCGCCACTGCAATGAAGATGACGTCAGTAGAAGATTTCGGACTGCGCCTGGAGAAGACGACGGACGTGGCGGAGTTGAATTCTTTGGAGAAGTGCAATAGTGAGTATGCTCGATCAAATCAGTGGGTTTTATATTTCAGGTTAATCTATTATATACTTGAGAAAATTTGTTTGTTGAGTGTGTGTAGAAGCCGTTTCGTTTTCGCGTTCAAGAACAGACTAGACAAGGCCATGCATGAGCATATGTTCAGTCTTAAAATGCCTCGTACCCTACGGAACAACTGATATCTTCCGTCCGTAAGGCCAGTCTAGTCAAGAAAAGTACAAGAATCGGCGACAGGCCTATCCAGGCCTATTATTTAATGCCGAAGATACTATACTATACTATACTATACTATACTATAAATGCGTGCCCACAGTATTTATCGAACTGGATATTGCTTAGATTTGGAATTTGATTTGAATGTTGGTATCACGGAGAATCATCAGGTAGGCATGCATGGGTGACTAATTGTAGGGTCGACTAATCAAAAATTTATTATTACTGACTCTTTCATCGCTATGATAAAAAATTTTCTTCAAATATCAAAACGGAAGTTGAGGGTTCTTTGTTAAATGTAGGTTTGAGTGGGTGACCCATAAATTACCATTAATTCAGTTAAGACTATTTGAAGGCAAAGACTACAGATTGACAACGGAAACGGAATTCTCATATATCATAAATTATCTAACTATCTCTATTTATTTATGCTGGGATTGATAAATATGCCAAGTTGCCCTGCTGATAAATAAAATAAAAATTTTTGTCATAAGAACGTTTCGAGCTCTTATTTAATCACCTTGTCTAATTCGTGCGAACGAGCAAAACGCTTGTCTTTGAACAAAGTGGTGATGATGTATGGATTGTTTATCTTTCAGATATGCTTGAGGTGTGACTTGTAGACAATAGTGTAATTGTGCGAGCACTGCTACTTGTAGATGTTTTTATGAAACCTAATCTTGTTGATGTTGTAAACTTGAATGCTGCAGACATTAGGGATAGTGATAAAGTTTGGTTTATATGCAAAAAAAGTTTAGTTTATGTTTAGTTTATGTGCGAGCGTATTACGAGCAATCTGTACCAATTACGAAAAATGCTAACTGATTGAAATATACTAGTGTTCAGATATATACTTTTTTCTGCAGGTGTTGCCGTCAGCAGAAACATCAAGCCGGAAGATATCACGGAGCGATTGAAGTCAGTTCATAGCATCACCTTCGCGAAGCTGCAAGACGATGAGGTGGCCTGGGCCGTGGCTGTCGCTGAAAAATTGTTGCCCGAGACTCACCAAGATAGACTGCCAGCTCACCTCAGAACTGGAAAAGCGTGAGTTTGCGGATTTATTGACTCTAAAGCACCACGTTACTTCTTTTTTTAATAATATTATAGTAAATTACACCATAGACTTTATTAGTCGAAAGCGAAGTCTTTCATGTCATTTCGGTGTCACTCATTACCCATGCTCTCTTTCCCACCTATCTTTATTAATAGCGTGATAACATCCAATTTATAGTAAATACAGGATATCATGAGTCATATGCACTTCATCATCAAGAAAACCCTTCTTGTATTCTTTTAACAATATCTCTGCTCTCGGCAGGCTTAATCAGCTTATCCTGAAAAGATGGTTCCTGACACGATCGGGTTTGGAAGAGCTGCTGAACACTTCTGATCCAAATATCGCTTCTATTTTCTTGGAGGTTCACGAACACCACACAATCACGGATGAAGAAAAGAGCAAGCTCTGCGAGCTGGCCGGCCAGAAGGGCATAGAACTCTTCTGGCACATGCCCAAATTTCATGACAACAGAGGGATAAAGAGACGCCAATAATCTCCTTCATGCTTTCGTATTGGGAATTTCCAGAAGCATCCATAAGCTACAAACCATTTTCAAAGTTTACTATCAGTTTTTATTGTGTTCCTCGCCTAACTGATTTCATTATTTTTCTTTTTTTTTACTTTAGCAGCCCACAAATTGTAGTTTATCTCTAAAAACGACTGTTATAGATGCACCTTATTAAGTGCTGATCGTCCGACTATAAGGTGCTCAGCAATCCATTCAACCTTTCCCAACATCTGAGGTTCCTACTAGCGCCGAGGTGGATTCGAGGTGCATCTTGGATTTAAAACACGACTTTCAGTTATGTTTGATTTAACATGAGATTTTGTTTGTCTCTAATATTAAAGTTTTTGCTCAGTTTATGAACAAATGATTTTTTCTTATTACTGATATCCACATAGGTCTACTTGTACACTTTAACAGACCACCTCTGAATGCAAATACAATATACATTCGAATAGGTAATCAAAACGAATACAGGTGATTGACATTTATTTAAATGATTGATTAATTAGTAGCTTAGGGACTTGTCTTAGCAATGAGATGATCTTCAAAATACAGACCGTTCCGCAAATATGATTGACTATTTCAATGTTATCATTAGTCTTGGGATGAAGTAACTATTTCCATTATTATTAGAATTTAAAGACCTAGTAACTCTACTTATTAGAAAAAGTTGAAGCGCTTTTGAGTAATTACGCTATTTACACCAGGTGAAATGCATTCGAGTTCATTAAAAGGGCGATTTTCTGTTCATTCGACAAAACTTTGAAGATAATCAAGGTCCAAATATAGGCCTATAGAATTCATTGATCAGTGACACTAATGAATGATGTATTTAAACTGAATTTGAACTGAAATTTTCTTATAGTTTTACAAAACAATGCTATGAAGCTAAGAGTCAGGCGCGTTGTTTGCTTATTTTAATGTGATTTATGTATTTAGGAGTCACGATTTTTTATTCATTTCCTCGTGGTATAATTTTTTAGGTAAGATAACTAATGTTCTGCTAGCATACACTTTTGCGTCCATGCATGAAAAATTATTGAGAATACTATACATTTATTGAAAAATTGATTGAGACCATTAAGTTTTAAAAATTTAGTGCTTAACTGTAATTCATATTTAATAAAATTGTTAACGATGCTACTGAGCGGTATGTAATTCAGATTAGCACTAGCAGACTTATTGACTCTTCATATGCGCACTGCTAACATGCAAGTTTGCTACATTAATTCTCTCTTCCTGGAACAATAAAAGTTTTAGTAACATTGCGCTCGACTCCAAATTATATTTTCCACATGACCCATGCCATTTTCGGGCAACGACATCAAATGTGACTGAGCTGTACAAAGTAGTCGGTATAGGTCTCCAGTTGGGCAAGATTAGCATTAGCACTGATCATCACGTCAATACATAACGCATCTGTATGTTAAAGCAGGATAAATACTGCAATTTGAATTGAAATGAAATGTGTGTCAGCAGGAAGCAAACTTCCACAATCTCACAATCCTCCACACAAAAGCACATTTCCACAAAACGTTAATCTGCTAATGATAATAGATAAAGTAATATTAAATCAAATACTGGAACCGTTCACTTCAGAGCAAGATTTACTGGCCATTTTACATAGACACCGGCAACTCTTCTCTTTCCTGATCTGAGCAGATTACGCAAGAAATTAGCTAGTAGATGAATTGTTGTTACGGAGGCAAGAGGAGCATGATAGGGCGAGGGAATGAGGATTGGTTTATTGTTTTATAGATGATAAAGCTGGAAATATTATTGGAAACTGTTACCGAAAAAAATGTAGTTTAAAGTAATATTTTGATTGCATTAACATAAGACGAAGCGCATGAAAGTAATTGTTCGTGAAAGCTGCTTGTATACGATGCGCAGAAATAGCGAATTTCACTATTCCTGTGGTAAGTTGTTCTATCTCATCACATATTAAGAAATTGATTTTAAGCGCCATTGTTAGCCTAGTTTTATCACTAAACTACACTGAAAAAAGTATGCGCGTTGAGCGTACAGTAGAAAGTTTACAGTTTACAAGAATGTTTTAATTTAACACATATAATAACATTGTTTCTGGTCAAAATGTCAATTTTATAATAGTGATAACATACTGTATATAGTGAGTTGAAAATATCATGCAATAGTGTTCGATTAAACGTACGTACGACATTCACATGCTCTATTGTTTTCATCGTTGGTGTTTGTTTCGCAGCGAATACAGAAGCGGTTTCGAAGTCATTCGACCTAAAACAAACAGCCGTTTGATTACAGTCGTTATTGGTGAGCCAAGTAAAAGATCATCGACAGTTAATTCGAACTTATTCGTTATTTCTAATAATGTATGTGTGTAGTATATATAGGTGCGCCAAAAGATTAATCTGGAGCTTTTGATATCCCAGACGTGCTTTAAGCAAAATAGGTTACATAATAATTCTACTTATACCAAATAGTTTCAATTGTTTTAAGTGTTTGTTAATTAAATCTATTATAAGTTTTAAATACTTATGTATTCACACAATTTTAAGTGGATTTCTTTGAAAACTTGCTGATTGACTTCTTCGGAAGCCCGCGAAACCGCGACAATCCACGAATTTTTTTCTCATCACATTGCTTGCATACACGTAATGAAGTGAAGCCGCGGCAGGCGAATAGCGATATAGCGAAGGATTACTTTATAACTCATCACTGTATAACTCATCACTGTATAACTCATCAATGTATAACTCATCACTGTATAACTCATCGCTGTATAACTCATCACTGTATAACTCATCACTGTATAACTCATCACTGTATAACTCGTCACTGAATAACTCATCACTGTATAACTCATCACTGTATAACTCACCACTGTATAACTCATCACTGAATAACTCATCACTGTATAACACAATGCATATATGGAGTATTATAACAGACCAGGAGTAATAAACATTACTAAGAAATTATTTTACTGTCGGCCATTAAATTTGTTATGATTTGATTTGTTTGTATTTATGGCTGCAAAAATCAAATATTTTAACTTGAATGCAGTCTATTATTATCCGTCGTTGTTTGAATTACGTTTCTATCGAACATTTATTTTTGAAGTTGAGTAATGTATGAGTCTTATTATTGAATATAAACGCAATAATTTCACTTATAAATATGAGAATAGGAAACTGAGCTAGGATGATGACGAAAGTTGTTACGAAAAATGCCAAGTTATTCTGCTTAAACCGAACAAATTCAGTTTATTCATTTTATCTCTCGCGTCAGGAAATTAGTGACGAAAATTACTTGGGTTGAACCTGGCTACAATCGCTCTCAAATTCATTGTGATTCGAATTAAATGTTATGAGAAAGTCGTGCAACAGCACCCTAATGACTGAGGCTAATGTTGCCTAGCAGATGAGATTTTATAGTTAAATGTCAGGAGCAAACTCCGTAGACTATTTTCCTTCTTTACCTGAGAGGCTCTGGTAAGGCAGCGCAATGTTAACGCCGTTTGAGGAATGAGATGTTTTATTATCATATAAATATTGCTTACTTAACTTGATTATGGGAGGCTTGCCAAAGCGGCACTTACTGCAGCCTCAGTCTTGATGAATAGTCTTCAGTACTAACTGGTGAATAATCTCCTAGGTGGAAGTAGAGAAGGCCTATGTAGAAGTAGATAAGGCCTAGGTGGATGTAGGGAAGGCCTATGTAGAAGTAGGTAAGACCTATGTAGAAGTAGGTAAGGCCTATGTGGAAGTAGGTATGGCCTATGTAGAAGTAGGTATGGTCTATGTAGAAGTAGGTATGGTCTATGTAGAAGTAGGTAAGGCCTATGTGGAAGTAGGTATGGCCTATGTAGAAGTAGGTATGGTCTATGTAGAAGTAGGTAAGGCCTATATAGAAGCAGGTAAGGCCTAGGTGGATCAAAACTTATAGCTTTGTTTATGGCATGCGACTGTAGCGGCAGCACGGTGCCTGCACTGTCTGGTAAGGGACATGCCGTCTTGCCCTCTATCTTGAATAATTCCTAATTAATATTTGAATATTCTTATCGAAATACTGGTGAGTTAAGTGGAATTGTATAATAATTTATAGTTTTTCTTAAATTTTACATTAGTTCATATGTTTTCAAAAACCGTTGCAAAATGTTAAATGAAGATGAGCAAGTTGGGACAAATGTTAGACATCCATGCGTTGCGCGGATACTCCAGTGATGGAAACAGGAATAACAGACCCATCACCCATCAACCAGCCCCGTTAATGTTTCAGCATTGAAGGTGCAACAGTAGGATGCCGCACTACAATAAAAGCTTATACTAATATCCACAGGAGATGTGGATGAAGAAAGTTCAGGTTTTTCCCAATAAGAATATTCAAAGATTAGTGCAATGATTGGCATCAGTACTGGCGCTCACGGTTTAAGAAAGTCTCTACAGAAGACATCATTAACTTTGAGAAAAAATATGTGAGTAAGAATTCATTATACTCTAGCATATTAAAATAGGATTATTCGTTGCTGTACAACTTGAAATCTTAAGAGAAATATTTTTCGTTATTTTTGTTTTTTCCATATTTTCTCTTTTACTCTTCCTATGAATGTACTCTATGAACTTTAAAAATTGTGAGAAAATCAACTTACGGGGTGCCATGGCTTTTTTCTTATGACTTCTTAAAAATGTTAATATCCGGTGGACGATCACAATTTGAGTATAGTACACATCAGGCAGCAGGTGGTGCGTTCGCTCTTGCGATTTTCTTGTGATTCTATAATTAGTAGATGATAAGACAAAGCTTTTAAACTTGAAACAAATATTTTGAAGACGTTTTTAAGGTGATTTTTGCTAATTGTTACCTCTAAAAATCTTAACTGGCTTTTTGGGACAATTTTCTTACATATGCTGTTATACGCATATTTTTGGATTTTTTAAAATTTTAAACGACCATCAAATCATGAAGGAATCAACCTTGAGGTCTAACATTTTGCAGTAAAACATCCGTAATACTGCATCTGTTGAAATTCAAAACTTCAAAATGCTCCACTCCTATCTATGTACAGCCTATGTCTTTTTGTGAATAGAAATTAGAACATAACAATTTGCATCGAATATGATGTTAATCTTCATCAGGGTCAGAGAAAGTGTTAGCAGACCTGGAGGCTGCATACAAGACAGGGAAGGGCAGCATGGACCACATCCTGGACGCTGTGCTGCTCTGCACCGTTGAGGATGAGCCGCGCTTCAGGAGTATCATTTACCGTGGATCGAAGAGGGCAGAGTGGAGCCATACAAAGTATACACGCTCGAAACGCAAGCAAAAAATATAACTCTGTACTCACTGCAGTGAGTGCCAGAGAGCTCATTTTCTCGTCCATGGAAACGTGGTCACGAACGGACAGACAGACAGACGGACGTACGGACATGGCGAGCACAATAGTGCATTTTTTCCATAAATGAGAAAATAATAATGACATGACGCAATAATAGTTTTGGTTTTCGTTTTCGTGCCTTGTTCACAGAAGATCTAAAATCGTGTCATTTGACCGGACTTTTTCATGACTGACGATAGTTTGAGATAGCTACTCGACTTCCACCGGGTTCGATATGGTGCTAGGCATTTCAAATCTGAACATATATTTTTCCATGACTTTATCTAGTCTGTTCTTGAACGCGTTCATACTTGGAGCGCCAACGATGTCATCGGGGAGGCTGTTTCACATGTCGGTGTCGAAGCGAGAAGAAATGTTGGCGCGTGGAGAAGTTGCAGCGTAGTTTTTTTAGTTTATAGCCGTGGCCCCTGGTGTTGGTTCTTGTTTCAAATTCTAGTAGGTAATCCTTCGGGGACTTTGTATAAACCATGAGTATACTTGTATTACAGAGGTGGGCAGTAGCGCGCTACATGTAGCGGCCGCTACATTTTCAGTAGCGGTAGAGGTAGCGGCGCTACATTTAAGCAATTGTAGCGGTAGCGGTGGCGCCTGCTACATATTTAAGAAGCGATACGAGGTTTTGCCGCTACAGCGCTACCGCTACATTTTTAGATAAAGCCTTTAGATTTTATTTAATAGTATTAAATATTATTTAAAAA